TCCTGCTGACTTCCGGAAGACTCTTGGCCTCAAGCTCACTCATCCCTCACTCCCCACACAATTAGCCTCCTAAACCCTCTCAGGGCCCCAACTGTGCTCAAGACAGGCCTTTCCTGCATCCAGGGCTTAGCTGGTGACCTAATATGTCTCCAAAGTAGCAATTGGCTAAGAAGGCAAGAAAATGCCCCCTACCTCAATGCCACCAAGGGGCTGGTTGGAGAGAAAGCAAGTTGTGTGCGGGCTGGTGGAGACTATGAAGGAGTTCACGCGGCCCAGGAGTGTCGCTATTCTGTGCGAGGCCTGGCAAGCCCAGTGGCAGTGCCTGCGGATGTGACTTGCATGCTGACCGCTGACCACAGCCTGTCTGCGCCAGCGCCTGTGCCAAGAGCCTACCCCCTCCTACATCACCCCCGGGCTGCTTCCACCACAATAGCGAACCACCATGAATGCAGCTGGGATTGGGTGGGGGGAGTGAGGACATGGGGCCACAGAAGCCCATTGTGCCTCTGGAACCTCAGCTTCAAAAGCTGAAGATAAGCCAAGGGTTTTGAGTGGCACACTGGTCTTGGGAGCAGGGTGGAGATGGCGGAGTTCACATGCAAGTACAGAAGCAAGCACCAGTAGAGGCCTGGATACCTATGGCGGGGGCCCGGTCTCTGCTCATGGTAAGGGTGCCCAGCCAAAGCAGGCAGAGACACTATGCAGTTTCTTTAAAGGCCTCTGGGTCTAGGAACTAGGCCCCATGAATCCCAGTTTCAAAAACCCGATCTGTGGCCACAACTATGTCTTTGGAAAGAGATTCCTGACGCTTTTGGCCAAGCCCCCCCCTTTCTCTCTCCAGGTACCCAAGAAAGGGAATTCTTAGAAGGAGTGGGGGTTGGCTCACACAGGGTCTTCCCTGCCAAGTTTTGTTTGGAATTTACATTCACAGCAGTGGAAGGGCAATGGGATTCTACTTCTGGAAAAGTAGAGTTACCTCTTTGTTCCCATTACCTTTGGGGCCCTCTGAGGGGTACTCAGAGCCCCCTTGGAGAATCCCTGTACCCACACACTCAAGAGGAGTTGTGGCTGCCCCATTCCATTCAGGTTGGATTTTTAGGGCAGCCACTTCCTTTCCCTTTTCCTCTTGGGAGAGAAGTAGCTGGAAGGTATGGGCTTATTGTCAAGAGCCCCCTACTTTGGGGTGTTGGGGGACGGTCTGGAAAGCACAGCATACTGCCCTTCCTGAGAGAAACACGCCTGCTAGGACAGTAAAGACTCTGAGAAGTCCTGCTGTACAAAACCTGTTAACCTTCCTTGATCCCAACATTTCCTACAACTATGGGATGTGAATTTTGGGCTCAGAATTCCTACCAGTGTTCTTCCAAACATCTCCAGTCCAGCCATGCTCCACCGAGGTGGGCCTCTCCTTCCTAGATAATAGATAACCTTAGAAGCTCTTCCCAATACCTCCTACTCGGGTGCATCCATGAGTCCTGGTCCTATCTCAGCAGCACTGAAGGCCCCTCCTCTTTGCCACTCTGGTCCACCCATTGGATCTTTGAGAACAGCAGCAACTGCGTCATAGGACTAGACAGATGGCCCCTCCCAGGCCCTTCAGCCCTTCTGTACAGCCATGGCAATTAGAACCCTCAGAGGAGCAACTATAGCATTCTGCTCTAAAAGACCCCAGTTTTTTTTTAAGGTTTAGATGTGTTGCTTGTGCCCTCAATGGGTGTAGATGAGCTAAGAGGCTCTCTGACCTGTGTGGATGTGTAGAACATTTCTACCCGAGGTTCTAAGGGAGTTGGCCTGGCTGGACTGAGGGTAGGCTTCAGAGGCTGAGAGTTGGTCCCCAGCCTATGTGATCTGTGTGGGATAAAGTGGGCAGCAGCCTCAGAGCCTGGAAAGAATGGCCATTCTAGCCCAGCTAGGAGCTCGAGAGGATGCCCCCAACTCCCTTGGCTGCCCTTGTGAAGTTAAACTGTGACTCAAGTGAGGAGAATCATTTGAGAGGCTAAGTTGGCTAAGACAGCCTGACCTTCTCTCCGTCCAGTGAATTTGCATGGGCAGGCATGGTCTCAGAAGGGAGATCCCACTTTGTGACCCTTCTGAGTCAGGTGGGAGGAAGGAAAGCAGGCATATTAGGAATTAGTAATGAGCAGTGGCAACGAGCCAGGCTCTATTAATGCCAAGAGGAAGGCCTGGGAAGAAGGTAGCCCTGGAGTAGCAGTCCCTTACCCTTGGGTGGTGTTTTATTCACCTCTTTCCCCATAGCTCCATTTTACAGATAAGGACACAGAGGCGTGGCTAGCCATCCAGCAAGTCCGTGGCAGAGCTAGAGCTAGAACTCTTCTGGGTGGTAGCTACTGATTGTGTCTACAGCCCCTGGATGGGACCTGTGTGCCCTTCTAGGTTAGCACTTGCCTGGATTATTCTCTGGGTCCCAGTGCAGGGCATGCAGTAACCAGGGGCAACCCCTCAAGCCTCACAGCTTCTGACATTTGTCTCTGATTCCAAGTTTTTCGAGGCATGACGGGCACTGGTCATTGGTACTGGCTTTCCTACTATGCCCCTGCTACAGCCACTCCCCAGAAACTCAGCTTAGGGCTC